GGCAATGGGATCGCAACCCTCGGTGTTGCTCCCGCGCCCCGCGCAGCCAGCGAGCGGGAACCGGTCTGTATGTGGGATCCGAACCCTCAGGCGGGAGCGCCGCCGCGCTTTCCAAGCGGCGCACTTATCCAGTGCGCCACCGGGCCGGCCCTATTATGTTATTTTTTGAAAAGGGGTTTATGTCCTCCCAAATGAACCTATGTATGAAAGCTAACTCTTTAAAGAAAGTATTATAATCATTAGCAGATGCTCACCTCTCCTTGGTCACTCCAAATGCCATGAATTCAGTGAAACCTGAGCTAAATAATCCCTATACCTGAAGACTCTTTTCTACCAGCAACCCCCTCTCCCACAAACACACCCAACATGCAACAAAGGAACACAGCTCAAAGCAGTTTTGCCAGGAAAAATGCAAGTTTTCTTTTCTGATCCTGTTTCTATGATTTTTTTCTGGTCATCTTCATTCACCCTCTGGGTATATGGTAAGCAAATAAATCTCTTGAGACAGGGTAAGTAAATAAACACATATGCCAAGTCTTCACCAAAGGAAAGAAACAGATATCTTTTCTTTTTAAGTCACCTGGCCTAAAGCATAAGAAAGTCATTTCTCCTGAAAATATAAATGTAAAATTACAAGATTTAAATTAAGACATGACAGAGATGAAAACTTATTTTATGTTCATAAATTGAAAGTTGAAAGATAAAATTCCTAAGTCCAGGAAGGCAAACGTGGGATACAAAGTCAATATTTTAAGTCACAAAGAGTATAGAGAGAGTAAGAGCTTGCTCCCTAAGAGCTAGTGTATCCGGGCGAGGGGCAACCTTTGAAGCCAGAAGGAAGGCATGTGTGGGACAAATAAGGGAAAGAAATATTTCACAGGGCAGCTAGTAAGAACTGTTGCAGGTTTTATATATGTATAAATACTTATGTATGATTATATTCCAAAAATGAGATTATTTCAATAATTACCACACCATGTGGATTTAAGAGAAATCAAGACCACGGAATTAACTCATCTAATAACTATTTATGGAGCACCTCCTATGTGCTTGGCATCATGCTAGACTCTAGGGATACATTAGAGAACAAAACAGACAGATACACCCCTGCTGTCATGAAACTTATGTTCTAGTGGGAGGAGAAAGATAAATAAGCACATAAATAAATAATATGCAAGAAAACATTATATCATTTCTAGACATAGAATTAAAATCGGGTGATGTGACAGCATGACTGGGTGGTTGCTTTAGACAGGGTGGGGAGGGGGCTTCTCTGCAGCAAGGACAGTGCCACTGAGAGTGGAGGGAGGGAGGGGGCCTCCTTTAGACAAGGGGAGCCGCTGCGTAAAGGCCCTCGGGACAGACCAGCCCGCAGGCCTAGACAGGGCGGGGGGCCAGTGGCGGGGAGGAAGGAGACACCACCCATCAGCTCTAGAGATGATGTTCTGATGTTAGAGACCAAATTCTGAGGGGAATAGACTCAAAACAACTTGAAAGTTTTCAGAGGGTGTACCAGTCAGAGTTCTCCCAAGAAACAGAATCAATAGGATGGAGAGAGAGAGATGGATTTGTTGCAAGGAATTGGCTGATGAGATTGAGAGGGTTGGCAAGCCTGAAATGCACAGGGCAGGCCTGAAATGCACAGGGCAGGCCTGAAATGCACAGAGCAGGCCTGAAATGCACAGAGCAGGCCTGAAATGCACAGGGCAGGCCAGCCGGAGACTCAGCAGTGTTTCTGTGTTACCGTCCTGAGGCAGAGTTCCTTCTCTGGGAAACAGTTTTTGCTCTTAAGGGCTTCAAGTGATTGGATGAGGCCACCCACATTATGGAGCATCCCCTGCTTTACTTGAAGTCAAATGACTGTAAATACAAACCACACCTGCAGAACACCCTCACAGCAACACCTAGATGAGTGCAGGGCCAAACACCTGGGCACCTTAACCTAGCCAGGTTGACACACAAAATTAACTATCACAGAGGGTTCACTAAGATGCCTCAGCGTGGAGAGCAGAACTGGCTGTGTATTGAGTTAAGAGAGACATCATTTGGTCTTTCTGGCTGTGTCCACAGAGGCTCTAAAGTTAAGCCAAAATCATAGCACCTCAAGCAAACAACAAACAGTTCCTTGACAAGATGAAAAACTGCACAGAGTGCTGGCTCCCTCCCTCAGCCCAGCCTGGAAATGCTGCAGAAGTAACAGAAAAGTGTGAGGATCTGAAGAAACTTAAGCCCATGGGAAACCCTGGGCGGATGAGGCCAATTGGGCTGGTAGCAGGTGAGGGGCCAAGAGCCTGCTGGAGAAGGGCGTGGAGCTGTGCTCTTCTGCTGGGCCTGCAGTGTCCCTGGCAGGTCACTCCCCACCCTCCTCATGGCTGCAGGACTGTACCCAGCAGCTCCAGGGGGTGGAAGGGAGCCCTCAGAGGACACCCGAGTCTAGCTGCGATGACAGCAAGAGACCACAGGCGTGGGCAGCTTTGCCAGTCTGGAGGTTTCTCTCCTCTTCTCCTTACCTCAAGCCCCAGGCTGCCAGCACCCAGGGAGAAGCCCTCTGCAGAAGGCAGCACAGGAGCTGGTTAAAATCCACTCGATCACTTGAGGGACAAGAACAGGGGGCTCCAGCAATCGCTGCTCTGGAACAGGTCTCCTTCCTGCCTCAAACTCACCAGGAACTGCTCCCTCTTTCCAAGACGTTCCTGCTAACACCTCCAGGGGAAAACAAACTCACAAGGGGGAAAAGAAAACACCAGACATCGGGAAGAACGACTGTTAGAAAAGAAACATGTTGAACAGCCAGTACCTGGCGAACTGGCATTAGGGAGACAGATCAAAAAATTAAAGTTAAATAAGTGTAAAAATACTCTCCCAGAGATAAGAAAGAATATTGGTAACGGAAGCAAGAAACAGCAGTTGTAAAGAAGAATCAGGTAGAAACACTGAGTATAAAAGATAGTCAAAATAAACTCAAAAGATACAAAATGTGTGCAGCTGAAGAATAATGATTGTACACGGTGTGTGGTGAGTGTTGGTGGAGAATGTGAGGATAGTGAACACCTCTGTTGCTCTGCTGGAGGGAAAGTTAACCAGGTAAACCATTCAGGAAATGGATGTGGGAGTGTTGAGTAAAATTTTATACACACACACACACACATGCTGCAACTCAATAAACGTGTTGCAACTCAGTAAACCCACTCCTGGGCATAAGGCCCCCAAAATTCTCAAATTCATCCTTAAAAGTCACGTTTGAGAATGTTCCTCTTGGTGATGTGAGTGTGACCGTGATTTGAAGGTCATTCAGCGTAATGGTTAAGAGCCCGGGTTTCCAGTCTCTGCACCACCGCTTACCAGCTTCTTGATCTTTTTTGGCTTCATTTCTTCATCTGTAAAATGGAGATAATAATGGAACTTACCACATCTGGTTATTGTAAGGATTATATTAGTTAATACCTATAAAGTGCTCAGAACGGTGCTGACCTAGGAAGCACTCCAGAATGACAGCTTTAAAAAACTTACTTTTTAATAAATAGAAACCCAGCCCTAGGATAATTCCCCAAAGAAAGTCTTGTAAAAGTCCATAAGGGGAAGGGTATGAAGACACTCATAGGATTGTTTGTAGTAGCCAGGAGTCGTAGGCAACCGAAGTATCTGTCACTAGAAAATGCATTTTGTAAAATAAGGTGAAGACATGCTGTGGAGACCCACACAGAAGTTAGAAGCAGTCAGAAGTAAACTAGATACATAGATGGCAATCTGAAATCTCATATCTTAAAAATATAGTACGAAGTAAATGAACTAAGAAACAAAATTAGATTCATAAAACAATATAATTTATTAAAATTAAAAACATACACAGAATAGAACATTTTATAAG